AAATTATTGGGATGTATGTACAATGCAGCACAAGTTTTATTTTTCTTTTATTAGTGGCAAGGATTGAACCCAGGAAGTGCTGTTATTTCCTGACTGGCTGTTTGCCTCTTCTAATGAATGCCACAAACCAAGCCTACATGTGGATCCACCTAACATGAGTTATGCCCTGAAAGCAGGAGTAGAGCCATCATTTTCAGATACAGTAGAACCTCGCTTAACAAGCATAATTTGTTCCAGAATCTTACTCGTAATGCGAAACACTCGTTAAGCAAAACAGTTTTTCCCATATAAATTAATGTAAAATACGATAATGCGTTCCAAGCCGAAAAAATACTCAAAAAATTTTATGTATAACATTTATTCAAAGAAAATTATATATACATTGTTAAGGAGCGTGAATCATCATCATCTTTTCTTCTATGGGGAATGAACCAACCTGGAATGCGAGTTAAATTCGCAGAAAAAAAAAAATCGAAATAATTAGTTCATTATTTATGATACATATCTAATTATTTTTTACTAGAAAGCTGTCTAGAGACATTTGTTTTTGCCGACGCTTCAAAATTTGGTGAAAATGCGACACAGCATTATCATTAAATAAATTTGTAGTGCGCATAACCACTGCCTTATTAGGGTGATGCTTCTCAGTGTACGATGCAACAGTTTCCCATGCTTTCAGCATTTCTCTTATTGCATCAGAAGATTGTTGTTTTGCTGTTACCTCCTCCTCCTCCTCTGACATACTCTCCTCCACAACTTCTTGCTGTGAAACACAGTGCAACTCCAAATCGTGCAAATTGTTGATGTAGACCGACTGTATGTGCGTGCTAGATCAGCCACGCTCACACCTCGTTCTTGCTTTTCAATGATTTTACGTTTCATTTCTACAGTTATTTTTATTCTCTTATGGCTGGCTTTTGCTGCTTTTTCTTCGGGAACATTTTTGCAAGGATTATTAAACTTTGCACAAAAAAAATCACAAATAATATGTCTGAACACAAGTCTGGAAGAATGTGTTATCACAAGCGACACTAAGATGCTAGCGGAACGAGTGCTAAACACAGACTGATGTAGCAAGCGCACAATCCGGGACTTCCCCTCTTGTCACTCGTTACGCGAAACGTTGCTCGTTAAGCAAATCATTTTTTTATGATTTGTTTTGCTCGTTAAGCGAGGTTCCACTGTATAATATTAAAACAGGAATGTCATTCATATCCTGTTAGACAGCGCAAGCCATTGACTAATCTTGTGTCATGACTTTCCAGATGAGACCAAACATGTGCTGCTATACTAACTACCTGAAACCCTGCCCTCCCTTCACCACCTGCATACGAGGTTCTGTTACACGTATCCAGCTGCCTGGAGTAGGGGTTATGGAGTCCTCCATGTACAGTGCTGAAATGGGGGGTGGGATTTATGGATATAAAATTTATCAAGTTTATATTGCACTGTAGAAATTACATTTCACTATATCTACCAAACAAGGGCCAAATTGCTGGTGTAGAAGAGTGAATGTAAGATGACACCCACGGCACGGGGGGCTCCTTGTAGATGGTGCACAACTGAAGAGGCAGATGCTGCATAATCCTTGCTCACCCACAAACTCAACAGACTTTCTTCACTGACACAGCTCCCGAACTGTCAATATACTGTAACGGTCGTGCAGGGCTTTACAAACTGTAAATCTGAACACACTATGCAGGCTGAAACTAAAAGAAGAACGTCAGATACATTGTACAACATGTGTCCTGTGAGGTTTAGCTTTCAAGATACACTTCACTGTCAAGTGGCACAAGCTATTGAATGATCAATCCATGGGCTGCTCAGTAGTCACAAAAGGTGTTCCAATCAGTGCATGGCACGGTTACTCTCCAGTACACCCTAACATGCTGGCATCGACCACTGTTACAGCTGCTTGAAGTCTTGCCACCAAGAGGATCCTGCGACCAAGGAAGCCTCCATGCCCAGTGCCCTGAAACTCCTGTGCTAAAACCACGACCTTTGTGCCTTACAGCTAGAGGTACATCTTCAGGCTGGAGATGGGGCACCACAACAATGTCCACGACAATTATCTCATGCCTGACATAGATGCTGCACAAACTTGCTTCATCTGTCCACAGAATGTTATGTGAAGTGAGCTCATCTGCAGTGTGCTAGTGTTGTAGCCATTTACAGGATTGCATCCTATGAACACGGAAGACATCTCCCCAAGCAGTGGTACAGATGCAACTGATCAGCATGAAGTACTCTGAGGACCCTAAGTTGGGATGGTCAGAGTTATTGTGCGATACCTATTTCCTAGACTGTTGTTATAACATCATCACTGGCTGATGTCGGTACAGCCCATGGGTGAAGTGCATTCAAGTGTGCTGTAGATGTGACATGGAGACGCTGCTCCCATCTTTGAAACACATTAGCATGTATTATCATCTGTACGACGTCCACCTGGATGATGCAGTGCATGTTCCTGTGCAGCACTACCAGCTCCAATGTTACACGCACTGAGGTTTTTGGGTCATGTCATGGCATTGTTCATATGTGTCTCGAGTACTCACAACAACACTGCTTAGAAGTATGTTACCATTTTTTTAATCAGGGGAAATGCGTTCGTCTGCCTCACTCCGAAGAGAAGGCCTTTCTGATGGATGCTCTGCAGTGAGCAAGATCATTCTCTGTAATGGTCACAAGTTCCTTCCCAATGTCAGTCAGTAATCTACCATTCCAACAGAGTGCTGTACCCATGCCCTACAAGCAACATGAACCCCCATGTCCCCCTGTGAGGACAGCATCACTTATACTTCATTTAGAAATTTTCCTCATCTCAGTGTTAAGCGAAACTGTATTCAGCTTACTGTTTAAATCTACTGCTCCCCAAGGAAACTTTTAAACACAGGTTTCACTGTAGAGGAATCATCACATCTGCACCTGACGAACTCAAGACAGAGGACAGCAATTACCCTGACTGAGGTTCTGTGGGTTTCCTCACACCTCTTCACCAGACAAATGCCAGGCAGGGGTAGTATATGAGATCGGGTAACACCCACTTCCTGCCATATCCATTTCAATTCATTATTCATCCTACCTACATCAATCTACTGTATGAACCCCAGTACACTGTGCCCTGCGTAGGTAACCTCACAGAAGACAAGACCTGTGTATGAATATCTGACCAGCGTATAATGCTAGAAGTATCTTTGAACTAGCATCTAGTGCCATCCTAGTGATGACATAACTCCACCGCTGTTCCCATACTAGCATCTAGTGCCATCCTAGTGATGACATAACTCCACCACTGTTCCTATACTAGACACATGTCAGAACAGATTTTTCAGTCCAGAGAAGGGAAAATTTGGAAATAATTTCAGGAACGGGAATTTTACATACTAGTGCAATCACAAATTTATATTTAGTTCTTCGAATCCTGTTCTGTTATACATAGTATCACTGTAAAATGGGGGCCACAGACACAGCATGACTTGACAAAATAAAATTAAACAGACCACAATGTCATGTTTAATTTATCATGCTTATACTGAACAACTATATATTTGGATCATGACATGTCACCAACAGGTGGATTCAAATTAAATAACTGCATTGCCAATGAATTGATATAAAATGGATTCATAAAAATAGATAAAATGTAAGAATCTGGTCCTTCAACGTTGAAGCCCCACCCAGTTCTGCAGAATGGCAGCGACATGTCTACCTGGGTTCCTGAATATCCGGTTTTGGCGAAGGCACTGCATGGAACTTGCTCACTAGGAACAGCATCCCTCCACTGATGCCACTCCAGGACTGCCAACATATAACAACAATTGTATACAAACAGCTTCCCTGACTGATCACCTCAACACACATTATGACTGGTCAAAATTTCTGATTTCTTTGAAGCACACTCCTGATTCAAGATGCTTTACTCTCACACCCACTTTGCATTGCAAGAGACACTAACCTTCAGGGCACAAAGGCTCAAAGCATGTACTTTATTTTTCTCTTCAACTTCTGCTCCCAACATTTCTTGCTCTGATAAATACACATATTTAGTGAGCTACGCATGAGATCAATATTATGCGATGTCCTGCATTCATTTCCGCCTCTAAATAAAAAAAGACAACACTTCTTCATAAATTCTCAAGTACAAAAAAGTCGTGAAATTCCATTTTATGGTTCTTAAGTTTTATCATCCCATACAGCAGCATGTAATTGGGTGATATTAATGGGCTCCACTGGGCCGCAAACCCCAAGACACTATACAACACATCAGTCTGAGGCAGAGATTAAGTTACCAGTGAGTAGGGGCATGTCTGCTAAGAAAAGTGTTCAGAAACACTCAGGGAACGTGACCTGCATAACTGGGGCACTGATACATGAGTCTGGCATCTGAACACACTCACCTTTCAGTACAGGGGATCCCTGAACAGGCTAGACAGCTGCAGAGTGGAAGAGAGAGGAAGATGCTATATATGAGTTTTGTTTTTCCTCTCAAACACAATTCACCAAACAACTCGCTCACATTTCTCTGTGCATAACGGAGTTTACTGCTCATACAGTGTCGCAACATATTTTGGTTCATGAAGCCATCATCAAGTGAAACATTAACAAACCTTATACTACTGAATTATGCCTCATACATGGATCCATAGAGAGGAAGTTGCCACTTGGCTCCTGCTCAATCAGAAGCTCAACAGCCTTCACCACTGGAGACAGCCACCCTTACAGGATTGCCAACATAGAGAGCACAGATAGAGCTATACAAATTCTAAATCTGAGTGCACTAATAAGTTCATTAACCAACCCACAAGTTTGGTAAATGAAGATGATCCACTGACACTGAGTTTGGTAATACCTTTAGTGCTGCACAAACTTGCTGGTCGCTCTCCGACTGAACTCATTCGCTCCTCATCAATGATTGCTGCTCACATTTCACCTGCTGTGATAATATCAAGTGGCAGGAAAGTCCTCCAAAATGCCAGTACTCTTTACCATTTCANTTCTGCTCATACACTTTGCACCTTACCCTCTGCTAGACTCTATAGCAATCAATGATGGATCATTAGTGAATAATGAAAAATTCAAAGGAAATGGCTGGGCCTAATTTGAGGAACTGTTCTGTGGCTGAGTAAAACTAAGAAACACCTCCACCAGGATAGCAGATCTCTGGGATGAGATGTGTCTCAGGCCTCTAGAATACACACATCACTACTAAATAAAAAATGTTCAGTCTCAGCACAGTACAAATAAATCTCATGTGTTACATACCTCCAACACAGGATAAATTAATTAAATCAAAAACTTCCACTCAATTCCACCCATCTATCTAAGGTTCTAGAGCTCTTGTGGACCTTGGCCACTTTTTCAGTATCTTACCAGTCGGTAAGCCTCCCTGGACAGGAGATCATCCGGTCGGAAGGCCACTACCTATACGACCTACACACAATACAAACACAGAACAAGCAGAATAAACACACACAAACATCCATTTCTTGAGAGGAATTCGAACCCACAATCTCAGTCTGCAAGCGGGGTACACATTTCCACCATTATAATGCACTACAACCTCGAGAACAATCCTAAAAATGGCTACTGCCACCGAATACTAAGTATCGAGGATTAATAATTGCTACAGTACCGTCCTACAACTGTCAACAAATCAATTTTGCTGATATTTGCATTTGTGTTAAGGTTATTATGTGCCATCTAAAGCACACTAGTTCACTGTAGGTTGCGGTGCAGAGGCCGAGAACACCCACTCCTTATACATTCATTCATACAATTGCCATCTATATGTGAGTCTTACATTTCTTGGCATTACAACCGGCATCGTTAGATTAGTTTCCTTCAAATTATCTATTACCACATAAATAAACATTTATTATAGAAAATCCACACTACAGATTTAACTCTCAGTCAACCAGGCGCCCCTCACATACTGTAAGCAAACATGGCTCCTGCCACATAATGTAAAGATGCAGGCAGTTATTCATTAAGTCATCCTATCACTTGACACTATATGGTCTGAGATACTGAAAGTGTAAATAAATCTTAAATAAATAACAGAAACCATGTGTTCATGTTTCACCTGTTTTTCCTCTTTGTCTTTCAAGAGCTTCCAAGCCACAATTGAGGCAGGCATTAGTCTCATTGGCTTACTCCAAGCTTTGTCTTATTCTCATCAGTTCTTCATTCGGTGCCTCTTTCTTTGAGCTGGTGATGACAGCTTGTTACTTAGACCTCCCCTTTACATAGACACTTGGCCCAATTCTAGTTCCACCTGTAAAACACATGAAGAGTACACCAATATGACATGTGGTTCTGTACACTGAATAATTCAGTCAGTGAATGTATATGAAAACCAATGAATAGAAAAAGAACTTTTGGTAGAAATACAGTGCCCCTTTGGGTTGAAGGAGGATTCAGATCCTGCCCTCTATGCCCCCATCTATGCCCCCTACTGCTCAGGGGCCAACTATACAGATGAAAAAACAGACAGTGATTATATACTGTAGGTGCTGCAGCAGGGTTGCATTCAGGCCTAAAAGGGAACTACTGCTTACTGGGATGGACCAGCTGTTTCCCTCACATCTCTGTTGCAGGTTCTTTGATGATGATAGTACCTAGATATTCCTGATCCTCATCATCTTGAAATTGTCTTTAAATTCAGTTTGACAATTTTTCATTCGCTTCTTTTCACATATGATACCTATTTAGTATTAACACTGAAATTATATTCTTCTCTACTGCTGTAATATCCTTGAAATTATTGCTAACTCTGTGCTTTAGCATTTACATGGGATTTCTAATAACTTTCAGCTGTATTCACATTGGAGACTTGCCACTTGACATCAGCAGACAAGCACACAAGCACTACGAGTAACTCTTATTTAATCTCACACAAATAAATAATGCAAGAAAGCTAAAATGTTTATGCACATGCTTTTCTCACAGTGTACTGAACCTGTAGTGGGAGGGAGAGTAAGAGATGTTCAGACATATGGGGAAGACTTGAATACACATGGAATTTTATGAGGGCCCCATTCTGTTGGCGCCATAGCAAGAGAACAGACTTGTGAGAAGGTGCGATATCTGTCAAGTACTGTAAGGAAGTGGAAGGAACTTCTGTGGAAATGTGAGCTGAGGCCAGGGCCACTGAGGCAAAGCCCACCATGAATTTGCAACTGTGGCAAGTTCTCTGTTGATTTTGAAATGTCTTCTTGTGCCATACCGTTTTATTCTCAACTCATATTCTCGTTATTAATTTTTGTAATAGATAACATTGAGTTATTTAAAACCAACACTGATCTACATAGTATAAACATTAGAAGTAAAAACAATTTGAAGTTGCCACAAGCAAGGTTATCCAGCTATCAAAAAGGGGTTTATTATATGGGCATTAAGACTTACAATCTGCTTCCATCCTCATTAAAGGATCTAGTAAACAAGAAGAAACAGTTTAAATTAGCTTTAAAGAGATATCTTTTGGAGAAATCCTATTACTCACTACGGGAGTTATTTGATGGGTGAATGGGGTGATTTTCACCCCTTTGCATATTGAAGTCCTGTATAGAAGGCATACTAGGAAGTGGGATGTCTTATNAATTTCACGCACACTCTTTGTTCCTTCTGGTCGGCCATCTCACTAATCGCCAAAGGGTTGAAACAGGAACGCACACAACAGAGCACCACAGACAAACCACTTAACTCAGACTGACCCCAGCTCACTAACAGTCGCGGGAGACCCCCAGCTAACACCACCTAGCAGCACAACTCGTAACTACAAAGCATGCGCGCGCAACAGGTCGTTTCCGGTTATTTTTGGGTCCCCCCTCGTACACATGGAATTTTATGAGGGCCCCATTCTGTTGGCTCCATAGCAACAGAACAGACTTGTGAGAAGGTGCGATATCTGTCAAGTACTGTAAGGAAGTGGAAGGAACTTCTGTGGAAATGTGAGCTAAGGCCAGGGCCACTGAGGCAAGGACCACCATGAATTTGCAACTGTGGCAAGTTCTCTCTTGATTTTGAAATGTCTTCTTGTGCCATACATAACATAAACAAGTTAGAATTATAACAAACTGCTTTTATTTCATGCTAAATGCAAGTAAATTATGAATTCATCAAACTACTTTTTATACATTGAAGCAGTAAATGTTGGTGAAACCTGACCCCTCTGGCCCTTAGTGACAGGCCATCTCTACCTTACACTAGGTAGAAAGTCATTCAGTACACCAAGGGTCAGAGGCAAGTGACTGCAAAGATAGTTATGAAATTTGAGTTGTTACCATAGAAACATTGCAGAGTTATTATGTACATGTTTCATGTGTGTACAGATAAACTGTATGTTTACCCGTGCCAATATAACTACAGACCAGACCACTGCATGTACATGTCAGTCTGCAAGAGTGCAGAGTCTCAGGGCGTTGCAGTTTTACATGGTAGTCGAGGCAGCTTTCGTGCAGAGAAACAACCAGCATTTCGAACTATCTACCGAGCAATGGAGGAGGTAGAATCACTTTATTCACATACTTTCCAGCAATTCATGCACTACAAATTTCTATGAGTTTCATAATGAATACCAAATGCACAATATGGATGACCCATGAAGTGTGCAGTGCCAATAATTGAGCAGACTAGAATATTATCTTGAATTTTTCTCAAAGTTCACTGCATTTTTATGTCTGGCTTTGAAAGGTTTGTGTCTATCATAGGTCTTCTGAAGTTTATAAGGGTAGGTGTACATCATAAGAGTGCATGAATGTGGCAGATAAAAGTAAGAACGTATAAACCAGAAAGGAGAAGTTATAAATATACTTATGTATTTTTGTGTATGATATTTTCTAATATGTATTAATTCCTGAAGCCTGAAGTTTTCAGGAGTGTAAGATGTTCATGCCATTACCATTTTGGTGCATTGACAATGAGGAGTTGCAGTTATGCACCTAGTAACTTTGTCTCTGTTACATCTGCATATAATAACTCAAAGAATTGCTGCATGGATTTCCAAGAAATTTGATAGTTGTGAGTTACAGTAAAGTTACACATTTTAGAGTCAGTCAAAATCAGAGAACAGTAGTAGACAATTTATAGGAAGACTTAACATGCATATCTGTATTAAGTGTTATTGACTACATATTTACTGGGGCAAAAAATGTTTTGAGCAAGAGTTGTAGAAGAAAATGAAACAACTATTTTATGTCCGTTACACTTTATCATAAGTCTTATGGTTCCCGGTGTAATTAAGTAAAAGTGTCAGCAAAAAGCAACACTACGAGTACATGCACACACCAAGAGAGTGGCACACCCAGTGAGACATGAACAGCCAAAATACAAAAGATAGGAAAACATCCCACATCATAAAAATTAATGATAACAACAACGTGCCTTGAGAGTGCTATTTGACCAAGTGCACAGTGCAGTTGGCTCCTTTAAAATAATGTCGCCTGAAGATGGCCCTATGTGGCTGAAACGTGTAGCAAAACATTGAATGTACATATATCTTAGAGACATTCTAAACATTTAATGAACATTTTAGTGAATTAAATGTGATTTAATGTTGTTTAAAATTTAAATTGTTGCATTATACAATGCAACAGGATGATGAAATATAATATAAATAAGAGTGAGCAAATGCGTCAGAATTGTTATGCTGTGCATACATTTCCCAACTTGTAGTTTGTAACATACAAAGGAACTCTTCTTACAACATTCATAGATATGTTTGCAATTCACAGTTGACTGTCAGTTATCTGTGGTAATGGGAAAACTGATGCAAATAACTTACTAAAGTGGATCCAAAAATGATGTTATTGTACTAACATAAAGCTTGTTGAAATTTCAGCACAAAATTGTTGCCACTTACTGTAAACTTATATGCTTGTTTATTGTAAGGAACTGGGTCACACTGTGATCCACTGTTATTACAACCCTTGAGGACAGTTAGGTCATGATTTCACTGAATTTTCATGCTGTGAACTTAAAAGACTTTTTTAAATACAGCTACATTTAGAATGACTTTAGGATTACATGGCGATTAACTGTTGGATGTGGATAATGATGCTGATGTTTTGGAGGTACAGTCTGCCTCCATCATCACAGTCAGTAGGGGGTGGCACCATGTCAGGGCCAGTGGGGATGGTGAACTGTGAAAGTTGGGTGGTGATCTCTTTTAAAGCCCAGGGAGTGCACCAAAGAATTATTGGCAACTGGTGTTCGTGGGTGGTCATTTAACTGCTGGTGTAGGGGGGCAGTATGGCTAGTGCCATTGTGTCTTCAGAGTGTATCTGGTGCGCCTGGTTGGCTGATTTCTGTATCAGCAGCAAGCATTCCAAATAGTGTAGCTGGAGGTCCATCTGGTGCTCAGTGCATTCTTCAAACATGCAGCTTGTCTCACCAATGCAGATTGCCATGCATTCACATAGGATCCTATTGACTCTCAAAACTTTTAACCCAAGACCAGTCAAGGACACAATAATAAGCAGTTTAGTATGCTGTGAGAGACTGATCTTCACTTTAGTGTGCCACTATATGGAGAAGGTTGAGAAATGCTGTAGACACTGCAAATTTGTCCATTCTGTGTATGGTTCAAAGAAGCTGACTTGGGACATACACCACGACCAGCCATTCCAGCACTAACAGCCAGTCGATATTTGATGCCTTTACTCATGGCTATTTTGTCCGATATCCATTCAGTTTCTCCCATCTGAGAATAGATTACAAAAAAAGTTTGTTCCCTTTTTTTAGGCTGCTTCTCTTTGGATGTTATGTTCTTAGCACACTTATCTTCTCTGCTAATCATTCTTGGCCTGTGATATTCATGCGGCAAAATGATGAATGTAATTTCTAAGAGCTGATTGTCGTCCATGACAATTTAAGAGAGAATTCTGATGTTTCAACCGGAAGATAAGTCTTAATCAAAGTCTCTAAATTACAAATGTACACGTAATACGACAAATTATTCTCACTCTTCCTCTTCTGGGGTGGTTGTCAAGTTGACAACATCACTCACCATTCATAGTATAAGCAAGTTTCATTTGGTTTCTTTTAGAGTTGGAATGATTATATAACATAATTAGGCTGTTGAATGGGTAGAACATGTCTCCCCTCAAGCCTTTGATGTGCCTCGTTCTAACTAGGCAGGAAGAATGATTACTGCTCCACACAGCACCATTGCACAAACATTAATTTAACATTATTAAAAATCATCACTACACACAAACTGTTACGAACTATAATCGCTGTTAGTCCTTAATAGGCTGATAATTACAGCCTGTATTACATTTTTGCCATAATAAGAACTACTCAATATTGCGCTCGGTCATGGAATGAGTCAGTGCCCATTTGAAAGAGGAGTTATCTAAGCTGTGAATGGCTGCCACAGGGGCACTGAAGTCATGTCGTTCTTCCGGCAACGTTCAGTTGTTTGTTTACCCTCGGAATGGTGAGTCCTCAGCAAAAGGCGTTCTGCGTTCTGCACCGCCCCATTGGCACCTGATGGTCCGAGCTTTTTTAAATGAAAAAGTGCCCCAGCGATGGATTGGTCGGAAGGGGGCCCAAGACCTTGCTCTTTGTGCTTGGCCTGCGAGATCCCCAGACCTCACCATGTGTGATTTCTTCTTGTGGGGTTATGTAAAAGATCACGTTTATGTTCCACCGCTACCCACTAACCTCGATGACCTTAAACATCGAATAACAACAGCGATTAACTCAGTGCATCGTGATATGCTGATACGCGCCTGGGAGGAATTCTCTTATCGCATTGATGTTACCCATGCTGCAGGTGGTGGCCACATTGAACACTTGTAAGAGAGGAGATAAAAGTTGGTTGTGAGTAGAATACTTGTGACTTGGTTTCCTTTAATAAAACATTGTGTAATAAAATCGGTTCATTCTTTTTGAATAACTCTGTATATCAGTCCTGAATCTGAAATGCATTATGACTAATCACTGTAATTCCATGCTGAGCAATACTAATCACAGTACACACCTGTGTTGTCTCCATGAGCTGTTCAGCCCTGTAATATGTGTCAGATTGCCACTTAGAGTGTCTAGTCTCCAAAGATCTGCAGCCAGATAGTACGGTAATTTTGGCAATGTTTGAAGGGCAACCAGAAGCAAACGAGATCCTTGGGAATCTTCTGCTGATCCTGATTATGCTTGGATGAGAGGAGACCAAGTTGCTGGAGATGCCATGGCAATGAGGCTGACAATCCGGTCACTGCTTCATATATTGCTGTTAAAACATAACATACTGATATAAGGAATGGAATATTACTGTGCTTTCAAGGCCACAAAAAAGTGACAGTGATGACACAGAAAGAAAAATGACATCCCCTGTATGACTCAAATTGAAACTACTAATATTGTAGATGTGGATAATGATGTTAATTTAATGGAAATTATTTATTTATTTTCAAACCTTCATGTAACAGCAACTACATATTTCAGGCTGCTGCTAACATTACATACAGACATGTTCCACAGTGAGTTAGTGTATTGGTTATTAACTTAACATGGGTGTATTGTACCAGGCAGCCTGTATTATCCTGCTGTTACATCTACTTTTTACAACAGAGGCATAGCATGAAGTGGTATAAAAATATATCTGAATAATGTAACTGAAAATACGAGTTTGTAACCATATGTACATCATCCAAACTAACTGTAAGTATTTATTAATTAGGAAGAGCCGGATGTAGGCTGCTGTCTGACCACAGGAATAACTGTAAGTATTTATTAATTAGGAAGAGCCGGATGTAGGCTGCTGTCTGACCACAGGAATCCAGCCTGTAAGTGCTTAGCCCAAGGAAGGGAACAACAGATAGGGATGTAGTGTCCCTTGAAAGGAATGTGTATTTCTGGGAAATGAAGGCGACCCATGCAGCTGGGCAGTTGGGAGGTAGCAATGACATGAACAGCTTGGGTGAGGCAGTTGCAGTAAAAGGACGAGATAAATGCATCCAAGAGCCCTACAAAGTGCGTAAGATTCAATTCAGTTACGGGATTTTCACAATATTGCTATGTTAGCTACCGCCAATCAAAAAATTAGTGGCTAATTCTCTTCCCAAACCAATTTGTCTGTGAAGCACCACACTGATACTGTTCCGACCTATCACAAGATTATGACCCTGAGAAAAGAGCTATTTCCATCTGACGAGCAGCTCAGCAAATAGACAAAAGTAGTGGATGACGGCAGAGGACTACAATATGGGCCGAACCATGAGAAATGATGAAACGCCTTCACCCAGAAAGGAAGGCAGCAGTTTGCTGCAAAATGCAAGTCTTTTATTCTAATGACTATCAAACTATCACACTCTACTCCATCCGAGATCATACACATACTTGAATAATGGTTATTGTCCCTGAGGATGAAAGTGTTCTCCTTTTCTGCCAGTTGAATATGTTTGATTCTCATTACTGACTCACAAGCATCCAGGTACTCAGGCCATCCTGTTAAGTTGCAAGTAACAACTCTGAAATATTCACATACATCACAAGTTTTACGTGTGTTAATTTATATATCTTCCATACTGAATGAAAATTTATATACAAGCTAGCATACACAACTATGTCTGTGAAAGTGGTGGGTTATGGTTTCAAATCCCTTCCGCCAACCACCATTCATGTTTAATAACAAGAGATACAAACAAGATGAGGGAGTAAGGTTTGATGTTTTCATTGCAGCAGTCATTCAAACTGATGCATTCTGAGGTGTGACACCATGAAGCTTTACAGTTGGAACTAACATTTCTCAGAAACATGTTGCCTGCTTCTTCAGGGACTAAATGTGTAGGTGATGTATTGGCTGAGTTATATAACCAGGCTGCAATGGATGAGATCATTCCTGAGTTGGGTATTATTTCTGTTGCCCCCACATGGAACAGGTCCAGGCTTCATTTCCTTGCCCCTCTTGTGGGTTTGAGTGATTATCTTCTTTCCAGCCTGCTTGCATATACCAACCAATTTCTCACTCTACACATGTTAACCTTGAAGATGGTGGCAACATGTTCGTCTGAAACACTGGCATCTGCTGACAAGACTACACAGAGTCACTCAGAGGGTAACAATCTTAAAATTACAAGAAGTACACTCTAGCTGATAAAAGTAAGGCATAATAGTATGGATACCAGAAGTGACCACACCTGACAAGTAGCTGGAATTGACTGACTAACTTGCTCACCCATTCATGTGTCTACTAACTGATTCACTGACCAGAAGGATCAAAGAAAGTCCTCTTCTTGTATTTATTTCATTGCCATTATCTTGAAAGTGACACTGTATAAAAGAACAAGTTTCAATTTTGTTCATGAAAGCAATACATATGAATTTGTATTTGTATTTGTATTTGTATTTATATTTGTTCAAGAAATCCAAAAAAGGATATAGAACATGTCACAGAACTAAATATAAAACAGGATACATGCATAAATTACACGACTAGATAGTACAATGAATCAAACAATAACAAGTTTCAAAGATCCAAAAAATGGATATAAAACATGTCATAAATAATACAAAACATAAAATACTCAGTTATGCTTATCTGGATCCAACAGTATTCAACAATAATAAGTTACAAAGATCCAAGAATGGATATAAAACATATCATAAATAATATAAAACATAAAATACATGCATAGTTATGCTCGTCTAGATGATACAAGAATACAATAAATACTAAAATTTATCTGTTTAAATATTCTTCTATAGTATAAAATGTATGTGTATTCAAAAAATATCTTAATTCAACCTTAAACTTTTTAAAATTATGAGATGAGTTCTTGATCTCTATGGGCAGTTTATTAAACATTTTTATACCCGCGTAGTAAACTCCTTTTTGAAAACTAGTTAAGTTAGCTTGAGGTAGATAAAGATCTTGTCTATGTCTGGTATTTATAGCATGAGAGTCAATATTTGATGAAAAAAGATGTTTATTCTGCAATACAAATATTAACAATGAAAATATGTATTGCGATGCAAATGGTAAAATGTTTAACTCTTTAAATATGTTTCTACACGAAACTCTGTTACCATATCCCAACATCGCTCTGATGGTTTTTTTTGGAGAAGAAAAACACTAGAACTATGGGAAGAATTTCCCCAAAAGATGATACCATAGCTCAATAAGGAGTGAAAGAAAGAGTAATAAATTGCCTTTAAGGCTGTAATAGACAAATACTGTTTCATATTTCTTATTACATAACAAGCCTTGCTTAATTTTTTTACAAGTAGTTCAATGTGATTCTTCCATATTAGGGCACTATCAACTACGACTCCCAAGAATTTAGTACTTAAGGTATTGTTGATAAAATTATTGTTATAATTTATTGTAAAAGTATCTGATATTGTTGCCTTGGTTTTAAATTGAATACAATGTGTCTTATTAAAATTCAGGGATAGTTTATTTGCTCTAAACCATCTATTTAAAATTTCAATTGTTGTAAGAATATTCCTACTAAGATCATTTATATTAGAATGTGAAAATAAAATGCTATAGTGAATGCTATAGTGCTATGAATGCTATAGTGTATATGATGTCATGTTATATTTTCTGCCTATTACATAATGGAAATGACAACTGTGATGATGATATGAATTCTATGTGGTTTATTCTTTCTGCAGCTCAGTAACAGCAATTTTGAATATCTGGAGAAAATATGCTCTGAAATATATGATATTCTTCCTATCTTCATTATATACATAGCATATGGAATGTCATTTCATTACAAAAGCAATTCACATAATTGATCAATATAAAATGTTTAGGATGACTTCAAAACATAAAAAGCAACATAAGATAATAATAATAATGAATAAACTCATAACAAATCAACTTGAAGAGAGCCAGCAAATCACTCACTGGAAGGTTTATCAGCAAAGGTCCAAAGGTAAGTAAAGTCTGTCTCTGTGCTTAACTAATTAAGCACTATGCCGTGAAGATGTAATGGTGAGTGGATGTATAGACCCACGTTTTCTTGACCTCAGCAGTAGTTGGAGGGGACCAGTCAGCTTCATGACCCAGCTGCTTTACCCCCAGGAAAAGAATGCCAATACCCATTGCATAGTTAGAATAATTAATATTTCTCTGGGTTAGTGAAGTATGAATGTAAAATAAGATAAATATTAGTAACAAAAGAAATGCAGGCCACGACATATTCAGGGTAAAGGACTATAACCACAGTCAACAACAAATTACATAATTAACCTAATCAAACCTTCTGCTATAACACATCCCAGAACTCTTTCACAAAATATACTTTGTGTGGTACATATTTTGGCTAAATTTTGACATTTTCAGAAGTGTTCAATTAAGTGCTAAAGCTACTCATATTTCAAGTTTCACGCTATATCAACATAATTAAGTTATAGCTGACATGTCTCATAATACTAGTAGTGTCTGATATATGATTCTTGATGGTAAGATAAAGCTCAATTATAATTAATAAATTAACAAAAGGGTTATTCTGGTAATCACACATATACAGAGCATGTATGTATGTATGAAGGGGTAGGCCTACTCGGCCCTTGAGAGTCTTAGGGAAGCTAAAGCCTCACATTCACACAGGACGTGTGTGGCTGTTTCATTTTCTATCTGACACCTCTCACAAGTGGGACTATCACTTAGTCCCAGTTTGAACAGGTGTCCTTTGAGGTGACAGTGTCCTGTAAGTAGTCCTGCCACCCATCGTAGCTGGTTCCTGTTGAGCTTCAACAGTTCCTTCGCTCTTTTATCAGAAGGTCCTCGTATGAGTCCCTTAGCTTGCCTGAGTCCAGTTAAGGATTCCCAGTATTTCTTATGTTTTATGTTAGTCCAGTCCCTGATTGCCTGTTTGGCAACTTCTAGAGAGATGCCACAGGCTGGTTCAGGTCCTATGAACAGATGTTCAGCTCCAATTTTAGCTAATTGGTCTGCTGCTTCATTTCCAGCAATACCCTCATGCCCCGGCACCCATATCAGTTGTACCCTGTTATGTTTGGCCAGTTCCACGAGGGTTTGGTGGCATTCCTAGACCAGTTTTGAATTGATCGGGTGTTTGTCAAGTGCTTTGAGTGCTGCTTGGCTGTCAGATAGAATGTAGATGTTCCTATTTCTATAGTTCCTATCTAAATTCTCCATAATACATGCTTTAATGACATATACTCGTACTTCTGCCTGGAATACTGCCGTGTACCGCCCAAGGCTGAAACTAAGTTTCCGCCTCGTGCCATGGCAGTACACACCAGCTCCAGTGCCTCTATGTGTCTTGAAACCATCTGTATACCAGATCAGTCCCCCTTTTCTGTCAGGCTGAAACCCGTCTTCCCATTCACTCCTTTCAGGAAATCTGACTGTGAAAGGTTTTTCATATACATGTCTCAGTATCATTTTGTCAGACCCCATTTGTAATATGGGTTTTTTTTCATGTCCTGAGTCATGTCTGCATCGCCGAAACCATCAGATCTAGGTTTCCATTGTCCACAGCACTGAAGATGGCAAATTCCTGCCCTGGCCTCTGCATCCAACTGCATATGCAGTGGGGGGAGTGCAAGGAGTATCACCAGTGCAGATATTGGAGACGTTCGAAATACTCCTGTAATACCTAAGCAAGCCAACCTTTGCAATTTGCCAAGTTCTGTCTTGCTTGTCTTGAATTTAACTCTGGGCCACCAAACTGTGACACCATAAGTAATTATAGGTCTCACAACCACAGTATATATCCAACGTACAACGTGTGGCTGTAGTCCCCAAGTTTTACCAAACATGCCCCTGCATGTCCAAAAAGCCTTATAGGCTTTGTTAATGACTTTGTCCAGCTGCTTTTTCCATGTCAGTTCCTTGTCTAATATTAGACCAAGGTCCTTGACATCACTGGAGAGCTGGATTGTCTTATTGAAGAGAATCGGTTCCTTAAGACCCTTTACATTTCTCTTCCTAGTAAACGGTATGATTACCGTCTTGTTGGGATTGATGGAGAGACCTGTTCTTTCACACCATCATTGGACCATGTATAGAGCTGACTGAAGACGCTCTGATACGGTCGAAAGGAATTTTCCATTTATGAGGATTGCTATGTCATCAGCATATCCTACTGTATAATACCCATCGTCATTAAGTCCACACAGGAGATCGTCGACGACCAGGCTCCACAGCAGAGGCGAAAGTACGCCCCCCTGCGGACATCCCCTAGACGCAGACACCCCCAGGGTTTATCCCGATAATGTAGCAGCTATGATTCTGCTTTCCAGCATAGCATTGATCCATCTGCATATTGCATGCTCTATGCCATGCCTTCCAGCAGCCTGTTTGATTACATCAAATGAGGTTCTATCAAAGGCTCCCTCTGTATCAAGGAATGCTCCCAAGGCAATATCCTTGTGTTCAATTGCACTTTCTATGCATGTTACCACATTGTGTAGTGCACTTTCGGTAGATTTACCTGTTTGGTAGGCATGTTGGTTTTGGTGTAGAGGACATGTCCTCAGTACCCCGTACCTAATATGCCTATCCACTAGTTTCTCCATCGTTTTCAAAAGGAAAGATGATAGGCAGATAGGGCGATAAGCCTTAGCCTCGGTATAATCAAGTTTCCCATGCTTTGGAATAAACGTCACCTTAACCTGCCTCCAGACTGTGGGGATAAAACCATATGCCAAGCAGGCTCTATATATGTGACATAGGTGTGGAACTAAAAGTTCTGCCCCATGTTGCAAAAGTGCCTGTACAATTCCATCCGTTCCTGCTGATTTAAATGGTCTCAAATTGTTCAGTGCCCATCTTATTTTTGATTGATTAATTATGACTTTGGCCAGGTCCCAGTCTACCCTGTCCATCTTGCTTTGGCAAGTGTCCAGGTTCTGCTGACCCTGTCCATTGTCCAATTTGTCAATCAATTTTGAATCAGGAACGTGAACTCTGAATAATTCATTCAGCGTCTCCCTTCCTGTTTGAGTATACTGTCCGTTAGGCAGCTTAATTGTGCTGACCTTATTGGTCGCCTGTTTTGCCATGATTCTCATGAGTCTGGCACTGCCTGGTACATCATTATCTCCTGGCAGTACCTCCTCCATGAGGATTGCTTGGCTTTCCTTATTTCTTTCTTGTAACAGGTCAGGGCTTCCTTATAGATGTCCCACTGCCCTGTTCTTTTAGCTGTATTAAACAGCCTTCTTGTTTTGATCCTAAGCCCACTCAGCTGTTTATTCCACCAAGGTGTACTCCTTGGTCCGCGAGTGGTCCTAGCCGGACAATTCTGATTAAAGGACGAGATAATAGCCCATTGCAACTGGTCAACAGACCGATCAACATCCTTTATTGTGCGTATATTATGTGAGATGGCCTCCAGATTTACCTTTAGGTCGTCTTTGTAAGACTCCCAATTGGTTCTCTTAGGATTCCTATAAGTAGTTTGATCTACTGTGATGTTACTTATTTTAAAGCATATATATCTGTGATCCGATAGAGACGGCTCATCAGATACATGCCAATTACTTACCAGGTTTCTATGTTATTAGTCCCTAGTGTCAAATCAATAACCTCCTTCCTATTGCAAACTACAAAGGTAGGTTCGTTACCATGGTTTAGAATATTCAGGTTTGAACTCACCAGAAATTCCATAAGGCTCTCTCCCCTTGGGTTAGTGCCGGTGCTCCCCCACAAAATGTGGTGCGCGTTGGCATCACACCCAATGATGAGTTGTTTTTTCCTGCTAAAGCAGTAGTCTATGATGTCCCTCATTTCCTTAGTTGGCGGTGGTTCATCCGAGTCATATGGAAGGTAGACTGAAGCAATTATAAGTTCCTTGCTGCCTTCTCAATACGGGTATGTTATCCTTACCGCCACTGTATCCCTTGAACAGAGCTCCAGCAAAGGCAAGGCATTAACATGATTCCTGATATAAACACAAGATCTTGCATTATTACTGGGTGCAACAGAGTAAACTGTTCCCCCTGTATTATTTAAGCCCCTTATTCGACCCTTGTATAACCAAGGTTCCTGAATAAGTGCTATGTCTGCCTTGCCCTCAGCTAGCTGTTGCACAGAGCTGCTGTGGCAGCTTTACAGTGGTGCAGGTTGATCTGAAGAAATCTCATGATCTCTTCCAATTGGGGAGGTATCAACTTCCATCTTATGTCCTTCCTCTATCTCGGACTGAGTTCCATGTGAAGAGGTCCCCTGATCCATTTTACTTTGGTCATCTGAGGGGCTGGGTAAATCATCCCCTTCCTCCTCAGAGACTGAGTTAGAAGATACAGTGTCTGTCACGGGTTCTGCCCGGCGCCGAACTTCAGGATCGTCCAGCACCTTAACAGTCCCCTGTGAGAGTCCTGTAAATATTTTATAACCGGTCCTCTGTATAATAGTATAGGAGTCCCGGTCTATGAATAGTATAAGCCTTTGGCCTTTCGACTCAGATTGCTTGTCTAACACCCTCCAGTTCTCTGTATGGAGTCCTGGATTAAGATCTGCAATCCATTTCAGTAGCTCTTCCTGGTTTTGGGCAATTTTATCCCTAGTCCGGAGAGCTACTTTAACAGGCTTGGGCAGGTTCCTGGCATCAGTAGCCTTCAGCCTGGTCCCTGATTGAAGCCTGTGGTTGTCAATGGCTCTGATGAGCCACTGACCAGACTGTTGGTCGGCACATATATAGATAAGTGCACCTCCCAACAGTCTGTATGATTTTAGGTGTGGTAGTTCTACCTTTGGAGTCCTACGTAACACCTCGCCCAAAGCTTCCAGAATGGAATTTTGGTCGTCTTCGGTAAGCTTATCCTCAGCGTAAGTGTCTTTGTAGATAGCTACCTTTATATTGGTCAGAGCCTCCTTCTAAGTCCCTGGGCTTCTTCAGAGTTCTGGCCGTTTCTGTAGGGGTACTGCCCTCCGACCTTGGCCTCTTAAAGGTGCCGGTGGGGGTTTCTCCCTGCTTGGACGAGCTTGCAGTTCCCGGTTGCTGACCGCTCCCAGTTCCTGCTTTGCCTGTCCCAGCTTTTGCCCGTTGTACCTGCCGCTTAGCGGCACCCGACAAGGGTTTCTTCGCCAAACGGGGTCCACCTATTCCAGAGCCTAGGTGTCCCAGTCTTTCCCCTGCTACAGGTATGTTGGAAGTACCGGCTCCCTGCAGTGGTGTGCCAGTACTAACGACTCCTGAGAGAGCAGTTTTTGGTTTTGCCTCTGGTAGGTTTTGAATCATTGGTTCATCCCTGCCTTTGGCTAAGACTGCAACAGTAGGTTCACCGGTTGCTTCTGAGCCCCTTACTGGTTCACCAGAGCTTCCAGCCCCTTGCTGAAGCATTTCTCATAGGGATTCCGTTAAAGGGGGTCCCTCTTCAGTTTAAGGTCCTTACGACTGGTTTCTTTATTTGGTGCCTTTTTCATTTTGGTCCCATGAGTAATGGGGATTTAAAAGGTCACCACCCGCAGAGCCCCATATGGGTGGAAGGCATAAATACAACGGGGTGCTGCCTGGTGCCCCGAGGGGATCATTCATGACACTGGCCAATAACCACCCCAGTGCCATGCAGCCCTCGGCACGATGCCTCACACCTTGGCTTAGGCGGTTGGTCCTTCATAAGTATAACCCTCACAAGCCTCCAGGACCAAGAGTGCATTTTCGGGGGGAGGGGTGTATCCCAGATAACTGGGAGTGCGATACTAATTGTCATGAGGTTGCGACCAGGGCAACCTACACGAACTTAAGGCCCCTGGAGGTTGCTTCAAAGCTCCCCCATTCCCACCCCTCCACATGGGTTGGTCGAAACCATTTTAGAGTGTTGAGCTATACAGAGCATGCTAAAGGGCCTTAGTTTGTTAACATTTTGATGTCTGTAAATATAACAGTAAAAATTTTATTTCACAGCTAATTCTTATATGCTGCATAAGTTTTCACACCATGTCTTTATGTTAATTTCACAATGATTATTTGTGAAGGTTGTTCATGTGCATGTATGGAAACAAATATTCTGGATAAACAGACTTTAATAAAAACTGTCATTGCAATTTTCATTTACATATTCTCATGCCTTGGTCACATGCTTTCAATTTATTTCATTTTCAGAGTTACACATGATCCAAAAATAAACTCTGGTGGCAAGTTCTCTGAATTTTTGAAGATACAGTTTTGGCCAAGACTAATTTTATACTGACTTCCTAATTACTGTTCTAAAGTTCAGTTATCACAATATAAGCCAGATACAAGAACAGTAATGATGCTCATATTTGTAGATGAACGTCTACATCAGCTTGTGAGAATTTAGTATGTTTTATGCAACCTCCACACAAGCATTTATAATTGCTTGTGAATATAAAACCCATCTCCTCACATGACAAGTTACTTAAACTGACTAAAGTCTTGGTGCTGAGGCGTCAACGCACTTCCACATCACCGCTTGAATATTACAAAAAAAGGAGAAGTGGTTAACCACTAATGATTCATCTCTGCAACACCACTGCATCTTAATAGCCACATTGGGCATTTCTGCGTTTCATCTCAGGCAGAGAGACAGGAGCCCCATTCCCCCTTTCATTCAAGAACCTTTCCCCCTGAGAATGCATCTATATAGGCGATCCTAAGATAAGTTTGAATTTGATTCTGAAAAAAAAAATCCAATATAGTGCTGCAAACCCCTGGACAACCAATGAATGGTAGTTACTTTATGGTTTAACGTGTCATGGCTTTAAAGATAAAAAATTTGTGCTTGTTCACATTGCCACTAAGAGGTTATGGGGACTTATTATGATAGTAATATGATTAGTAGTGACAAATTACTACTGTTTTCAAACACAGTTCAAATTTGCTTGCAGAAATAAGTTTACTATACCCATAAAATGAAATGATACTAAACTTTTCATGCTGTGGATTCAATGGGTATGATCCTTAATCACTACCTTGTATGACTTTACAGTCAGGCCTCATGAGAAACATAACACTCTGGAGAAAACAAACTATCAGTTACCTGGCTATACCACTTTCACAGTAGCTAGTAACATGTGCGGGACAGGAGGAGTTGAACCATGACTGCTCCCAGAACTCTGCTGCAAGTGACCCAAGCCCTAGATCAACTGTCATGTTTTTTGCTGCTTTGTAAACATTCATTCCTCCAAATGCCTTAGAATAAATCAGAAAAACAGTGAATTGTATAATGTGTCATACAATCTCATATGCTGTACATATCACTTTATGTTATTCTTACAATTTTCAGTAATAAATTTGTAACAGATTTATATGATGGCTGGACGCATGACATTAACCACATGTACATGAATGATGGGCTTTTACAAAAATTCCACTTTTACAGTTTGTTCTTTTCTTAAATACATTCTGGATGAATATTAAAATAATTTAAAAGGATCCTACCAATGATTCACTTTCCATATGTCCAAGAGCCCATGTTACTCTCCATATCATAGCAATTAAATTAACAAGATGCGGTGTGCATACCATTCTGAGCTACTGTACTACTTATTTCTCCAGTTTAATATATATTGGTGAGAAATGACTGGAAAATAATCTACAAGCAGCAATATGTAAGTTCACCTACCGGTAAGAACACATACATAACTTCATATTTTAGCACCTGGGTCAAGTTCCCAATTAACAAACAATGCAGAAAAGAGAACCCAGTTTTAGCTTCATTAATAAATTACGATGTAAAGTACAAAACTGAAGGCAATTTTACTTTACCTCAAGTATGATGTAGGTCAGCAATGAGAAAGATACGAACAGCATGAAATTCCTAGTTTATTTTCTGTGTCTTTTGAGTGCTCATCATAAATATGGATAGCAATCAGCTAAAACATGTTGAGATTAAGGATCAGATCCATCAGTTATCTGATACAACCAAATATCAATGGAATTTCATGTGCAACCAACGTAGAATATTTAATCCTCATGGAATCAGCAAAGTTGAAGAGTGTCACCTCACCCTGCAGCCAAATTCAAATCTTATCCCAGAGACCAGCTATCCTGACAGAGATACACCAGGGTTTCCCTCAATTAAATTAGGCCATGACCATTTCCTCTCTCAACTTTCCAAAGCCATCATTTACTAATCGTCCGGACATTCAATGCTATACTGTTTCAGTTATGATGGAACCCTCTAGACTCTAGAAGCAAATGTATTCAAAAAGAAGGTGATTACATAAAAACGTAAGAGATGTTGAACTACTGTGTGATTATCCTGACAAAATTATAGTGAAACTGCTTTCACTTTTTTACTTACATTCATGTTATTCTTAGTGGTACACACATTTTTGGACAGAAAATGCATGATAAAGAAAAGTAACAAGGGGAGTACTGTTCCCCTCTGGCTTCTTACCTCTGTTCACTCTGTACCTGTTAATATATTTTAAGTAAAAGAAAGTGAAACTGAGGTACAGAATGCCACTTTGCCATTGCATTTACTCAAGTTACAGACATCACACTATTGCCACAAGAATGCGCTATATTCAGAAGCTTATAGCTACAATACTGACTTGAACAGTCCCAGTTAATCAATTATTTTTTATTTCTTCCTTAAAACAATTCACATATACAAAATATGTTTGCTTTTTGAAAAACAATAACATTTGTTACATCTGACACAAGTTTAAAAAATGGCCAATATTGCTCACCTTCCTTGTCATTGAAGCAAGCATGCGCTGATAGCTTTTTGAATATAATACATGATCTGAAATGTAGGCCCAGTCATTGCCTGCTACAGTGCCTGTTGAATCAAGCAATTTAATCACAAACTGAGCTAAGTTAAGTATTATATTTAATTTTTAGTAATCATGGGACAGTAAGAGAATAAAAATACAAAGCAAAGATGTCATACTAACGGATTTATATACTTTAAGAACACAGCATATTTTCAAAAACAACAACGAAAATAACGACATAAAGCAGTTATTACCTGGTACGCTTAACACTGGTTGAAATGTGACACTTATAAATGTGAACATTCATAAAGCACCATTATGTTATAAGGTGATAATTTATGTGCATGACACTGTTTCAAGGATATAAACATTATGAAACTTTGATATGAAAATTAGCACAAGGAAGGATGTAGTTATGAAAATTAATAAAGACAATCAGCTTATAAACGTCAACGTTGAAAGTATGATGAAAACTATCAGCCTGTTGGTTCGTTAATTCTTGGGTCTGCTATTTCATTAACAGTCAGGAAGTATGCTGCCTGAGTTGAGCGGGTGGGTGAGTATGACAGAAAATTATTTTTTTTTTTACAGTTAGGTATATTAGTCATTCATTGAAAGAGCTATGTCAGTAGCTGAGATAAGCAATTCGTTTACTACAATTTCATTAACTACTAGTGCATATGTTTGCAAGCTGGGACGTCTTAGATTACTATGGAAAGATATGTTTACCTTAAGGTTCTGTCCTACCTAGAAGATGAACAGGAATGAGTGCTGTTTGTAGACCTGAGAAAAGCACAGTGCCTGGAGAGTTGTTTGGACAAAGGCGTGCCGCTTCTGGTACAGAGGTTCAATACTCTTCCACAGAAATACGGCTTCTGTGTAACCCCCTTGAAATTCACTTTGCTGTTCCCGGTAAGTTTCCACATCTCCAGCACCTGCTGAAGTAGCGGTGAAGTGTGATTTTCAATTTAACACTGAACTAAAAATACCTCATATATTGTCTTGTATGATTCACTGAAAATAGTTAAAAAAATTAAGAAATTCAGTAGAAATAACTAACTCCAGGCACAGCGTAAGTTCAAATATCTGTATATTCATCTTTTGTTAGTTTTATATCAGTTTATCATGTAAAAATGCTCATTTGAGCTCTTCTCAAGTTATCAGAGAGTCAGGGTTATACAGAAATTCAGCTCCTGGTTACATATACAGTACCACTGATAGTGTGATTAAATAAACGTCTTGCTGAAAAATTCAGCACAGATAAAACATCATATACCAGTAGCACTGCAATGCTTTCTTCTTCCAAGAATTCCTACTTCCTTACCTATTCCAAATTTATACTTTCACCGATTCATTCCTCTTTTGTGAAATGTTCTAAATATCAGACACAAAATGTATTTCATAAGGAATGAACAAACTTCCAAACTATATCAAAAATATTCTCAACCTATTACAAAACGTTCTTGAATTAGTTTCAGTGTTATATTACTTTTCCCATCACATCGAAATTTCAAAGGTAAATTGCTATAAATATGATACAATTGCCAAGTTATACTGCATGATTAATTTACTAATATTCCCACAATTTTACAGAATTTTAGCTGCTTATGATATGTTCATTTTGTTATGATACTGATACAATATTGTGTTTACTTTTAAACATGAGGATTACAATTCTGAGAAGCAGCAAGTATTTGTCAGTATGTGGATCCCTAGGTAGTGAACTATGTATCAATCTTCTGGGGAGCAAATGGACTTATCAGAAACATGCGCTGCTAGGCAATGAAGGTACAAGTATATTATTCTGCAATGCTCTCAGTAGCTAGACTATATAGCATAAATGGTAGAAGACAACAGATGAATAACAAATTGGAAAGGACTGGGAATGAAACAGTCATGGCCTAACCAAGATACCATCCTGGTATGTGGCTGGAGTGACAGAGGAAACCCATAGAGAACTTCACTCAGGACAGCCAATACACGTATCTTGGCTGAGATCTGAAATGAGAACCTCCAGAATATGAGTCTACAGTGTTAGTGCTCTGCCAACCCATTTGATGTGAAGGTATAATGAATAAAAGTGAACACAAAATGTAGGAATGGAATCATACTCATAATTAAAAAAATAAAAAAAAAATTCATACTTAGTATTTGAACCTCAACCCTCAGTTCTCAAGGCAAGTAGGCTAACCATTACATTATGCCTCTACTGCTGTTAAGTAGCCATTAATCATTATATATATCAGATACATACACAGAAACATTTTTTATGCTCGCTGTATACTATTATGGAAGAGTTTTGAATACCCATAATATAAAGTTTCTATTTCTTCCTTACAGTAAAAATAACATGATCGTTACAACTGGTCTTCGAATATAAAAAGTAACCGCCTTCTGTTAAACAGGCTTTATGGAAGGCCAAAAAAATAAAGTGTACTCGATTGTGTTCCGCCCACACTTTTCAACTTCGGTAAAAGAAAAATTGCCTGAATAGTTTCTCGAGTTCAACGAAAAATATTGGCATGCATGGAATGGAATTGTGTCTTACTCTCATTAGTTCAAACTGATATTGTGATATGACATTTGGATTACCTTGGAATCAGAGTCGCGGTGTCTTCCGCGAAGTGGCAACTCAGCCCCACCC